AAGATGTGAGCCACAATCACAACTACCTGTACATACACATGCTTTTTCAAAATAAATAAATAAAGAGAGAGAGAGAGTGTGAGACTCTAACTGGCCTACATATAGGTGGTATGATTGCCTTTCTAATTTCTCATCTATAAAATCCTCTCTTCCTTCATTTCATTTCTACTCAACCCATACATTCAACAAATACAGAAGTGTGTAGAAATGACAAGTTCCTCAGGTCATCATATAAGAAATATTTGTGTTTTCGGTGGATCTAGTCCTGGGAAAGAAAAAGAGTTTTTAGAATCAGCAAATCATCTTGGTCAAGTGCTAGCTGAGAGAAAGATTCATTTAGTGTATGTGGGAGGCAGTTTTGGGTTAATGGGAGGTGTGTCAATAGCTGCATTTTTAGGAGGTAGTCAAGTTTTGGGGGTCATCCCCGAAGCTTTAGCACAAGGGGACATTATCGGAAAAACAATTGGAGAGGAACTTCAGGTCTCCACAATGTCGGCTCGAATGAATGCAATGTTTAACCATGCTGATGCCTTCATTGCCTTACTAGGTGGTCTAGGCACATTGGAAGAGATCTTTCATATTTCCTCTTGGGCTCAACTGCACATTCACCATAAACCCATAGGTTTGTTAAATGTTAATGGTTATTATGATAAGTTGTTAACTTTTCTTGATCATGCTGTGGAACAGGAATTTCTAACATCTTCTACACGACAAATCATAATCTCTGCTGCTACTGCTGAACAATTGATTGACCAACTACAATCTTTCATTCCTATAATTGATCCTTCCATGAGTCGCATAAATTGGTCAACTAAGGAAAGCCGTAAAAAGCTTAGATTGGATTTGAGCCTTCATTTGTGAATCTTTATGTCTTTTGGTTTTATTATTATGTTTTGTTGTTACTTATATTTGTTGCAGTGTGTTTCAGGTTTTTCAATGTTCGTTATTTCAGGTGATATCTTCTATACTCTATCTTTCTACCTTTAAACATTGAGGACAATGTCTCGTTTTAGTTGGGGGGAGAGGGTAGTAACTAAAAAAAAATTATTTTCCATTTCATAAAGCATGTGCATAATTTTTGTTACTAGGATGACAGAGTAAAGGAGCTCTTTTGTTAAAGTGACTCTCGAGACGCATCTTAGTAACCATTCTTAATAAGGTCTATCATAATACTTCTTGAAATATTTAGGTTTACAAACTCTCACATTACTATCACTTAATTCTGCTCATATACTTATTTAACATGTATTCTTAAATCTTAATTTACACACACACACTTTAACATATGATTGTGGGTTACATATTGGATTATTACATTATTTATGTTCTTTTGTTAAAGGTAACAACTAAGGGAAAGGGATTGTATATAATTAAAAAAAAGAAAAAAAAAGAAAAAAGAAAAAAAATGATGATAATAAAAATGTAGATTAGTTTGATTTTGTAGCCTCCCTAACCTAAGCAATTAAGCCTGGAGGGGTGTTTTAACACCTAATACCCTAAAGTCAACTGACTTGGGAGCTATTGGCCCAACGTTTGTTACATGGGTTGAGGAGAAAAGCTTAAGGGAATCAAACATTGCACTATCTACATATCAATATCTGCGACCCGAGTTACTAAGCTCGTAGGGGTGTCTTAACACCTAATGCCCTAAGACCAACTGGTCTGGGAGTCATTAGCTGAAAGCTCGTTACATGGGTTAAAGATGCATGATGTTTTTAAATTATATGTATATAGATTTAAAAAAAAATGAAAAAAAAAGACAAAAATAGTAATCCCAACCCAAGGAAGTTAACCTTAAACATTAGAACAAAAATTTTGTTTTCTTCCAAGAAAAGCCTCATAATTATGTGTTGATACATTGAGCACAAAAGAAAGGTTTATTAATATCTTGTTAAGTGGTATTGAGCAGATATATAAATTTAATGAGAGTTTGTTTATCTGGATAGATTAATGGAAGTTAAATGATGAATACCTTGCTTTGTGAAATTTGCAAATTGTTTTAACGCTTTGATTACTAGGGACTAGTAATAAGCTGGTTGAGGGGTGTGATTAGTACTTAAAAGTGCATTTTTATCATGGTTTTATATCATCATTTTGCACTTGAAGTATCAATAACTCCTTAACTAAAGCATGTTTTATAATAATATATCTAATAATATAAGATACCTTTAATTTGTGGTAAATGTCTATTTTTAATGCAGGCCTATCACATAAATGAAAGGATTGATTGATGACTTGAAGAACTTAAATTGCAAGGATAAAGAGATGGTCAAACTTAGAGAAGAGATGTCGGTGCAATCCAAACTGGAACACTGTTCGGTAATTGGGTCATATCTGGAGCTACAGATCTCAGATTTAGGTCCAATTTATATGGATGGAAAGGTAAGACATAGGCCTACAACTTTCATATGGAGCCCAAGATCTAAAAAGGCCATTATCAAGTCCAAATTGTAGCAACAACAAAGAAGCCCGAATCTGTCTTCCAGCCCGAGCACTGTTCGGTATTTTGGCCATATCTGGAGTTCTAGAAGTCCAAATGAGCTGAAGGTTTTACACAAGAAAGCTGAGACAATTGCCTACAACTTTCATGTTTACAACTGGCTCCAATTTTGACGTTATCAATGACGTTTTGGGCAGACAAGAGAAGATAAGGATTGTCACCAAGTCAAAAGTTGGCTACCCACTTATCAATTAGTCATCAAATCAATAGTTCTCAATTTTGGCCTATAAAAGGAGGCATTTGCCATGCATTTAGGCATCTTGGTTTTCAGATCAAGATCATGCTCTTCCTTTCTCTCTTTGTATTTTTTGTAATGTTTATGCTTTACTTTCATTAATATCAAGTTTATGCCTTTCATTTCCTTTCCTTTACTTAGTTAGCTTTTATGTTCTTATTTTGTTTATTTGTTTTCCTTTCATTTTGCTTTCTTTCATTATGTCTAGCTAAGTTAATTATGTCAAGGTGAAAAGGTTACACTAATGGTGGAAGAATAAGTATAGTGTAAACTTAATATGGACCTTAATGTTTGATACTAACATGTGTTATATTTGTTATCTTGTTCACTCTTTAATACTTTGCTTGTTAAATGACTAATCTTGATTTATGTTGTATAACACTTGGTACAACAAATGCTTGACACTTTCATAGTTCATATTGTATGGTATAACCGACACCTGAGCTATGAAAGGAACTTGATTTATTGTTAACATAAGTTATAATCATGAATGCTTGACGAGATTTACAAGTATTAACATTAATTGAATAAGATGACTAATGTAATCATGTTAACAATATATAATCTGATTGGAACCTCCTTTGTGTGTGGTTTCCAATTCAATAATAAGAGTTTATACTATACTTGTTTGATATACCATTAGTGGAACCTCTAACCTTGACATTTTTTATTATCATTGTTTAATCCTTACATTAATATTCCATCTCCAAGTTCTCATCATCATCTTCTCTTCTTCTTCTCTTTCTTTATTATTATTATTATTATTATTATTATTATTATTATTACTACTACTATTAATACTATTATTATTATTATTATTATTATTATTATTATTATTATTACTGTTGTTGTTATTGTTGTTTTATAATTGTTGTTTATAATTTGTACAATTAACCTCCTTGTGGTTCGACCCCGGTCTTGCCGGGTTATTTATTACTTCGACACTCCTGCACTTGGGAGAAGACATCAACCTTTTCGTCGTGTCACTTGTTCACTCTTTAATACTTTGCTTGTTAAATGACTAATCTTGATTTATGTTGTATAACACTTAGTACAACAAATGCTTGGCACTTTCATAGCCCATACTGTATGGTATAACCGACACCTGAGCTATGAAAGGAACTTGATTTGTTGTTAACATAAGTTATAATCATGAATGCTTGACGAAATTTACAAGTATTAACATTAATTGAATAAGATGACTAATGTAATCATGTTAACAATCTATAATCTGATTGGAACCTCCTTTGTGTGTGGTTTCTAATTGAATAATAAGAGTTTATATTATACTTGTTTGACATACCATTAATGAATCTTCTAACCTTGACATTTGTTATTATCATTGTTTAATTCTTACATTAATATTCCATCTCTAAGTTCTCATCTTCTTCTTCTTTTCTCTTTCTTTTTGTTTATTACTACTACTACTACTACTAGTACTACTACTACTATTATAATTATTGTTATTATTGCTATTGTTGTTGTTTATAATTGTTGTTTATAATTTGTATAATTAACCTCCCTGTAGTTCGACCCTAGTCTTGCCAAGTTATTTATTATTTCGACACTCCTGCACTTGGGAGAAGACATCAATCTTTTCGTCGTGTCACCTTACATTATAGCTCTCTAAGATGGCCAACAATCATGCTAAAAGATGACATGTCTTCTTTTATTACAGACAACATGTTATCTTTTTTTTCTTCTTTTTATTTTTTATTTTTGAAGGAAATGAGGAGTTATACCTCAAAATTACTTTTTGCAATTGAGTTTAGATTATTAGTTTTCTTAAAAAAATAATTTTATTATTGTATAATTAAAAAAAATTAAAGAGCTCCTTATTTCATGATATTAGTTGTTTTAATATGCATATCCTTCTTAGTTTCCCGACTCAAGTCTTATTCGCGTTAAAGATTTTTTATATTTATTAAAAAATATAATTCTTAATTTAATATTTATTAAATATACACATCAACTTTTCATTTCTATATTAATTTTTTTTTACTATCATTGAACTTTTTTTTTAAAAAATATCCATAAAAAACATGAACACCTTAAACCATATTTGATATTGTATACTAATCATGCTATTAAAAATTTTAATTTTTTTTTTAAATTAATGTTTTTAGACCGTTTTAATATGTGTAATATAAAAAATAAATTTTAAAAAATTATTATTTTAATATATTAAAAAAAACACTTTTAAATTAAATTTAGCACTTAAAGACAGCTTATTGCCCCAAAAATCAATGAGAAGCCCACACGCCAAGTTGATAGAGACAAACCTTGACCCGCCCCGCCAAGCTTACTGTTTCCATTTCCAGAACCCGTAAAAAGTAAAAACACTCCTTCCTCCTCCTGGCACCTTTCACTCAATTTCCTCTCTGCGAACTGCCGAAGCCACTAACAATGACATCCACCACCATGGGCCCTCCTCCTCCAAGAAACCCCCATCCCACCACCTCAACCGAAGCTGCTTCCACCACAGAACCCGAATCCGAACCCGAATCTAAAACTTCAGTTGTCGACGAACCACAGAAAATCTCCTCAACAACAACAGCTGCAAAACCCTCCATGGCCCCACCACCTCCCACAAACCCTATTCCCACCCCACCAGAAACTTCTACAGAGCAAGAGAAAACAAAATCAAAGGATCCGTTAGTTCCGTACACAATTCCTGAATGGAGTGGGCCACCTTGCCATAAATTCTCCCTCGAGATTCTCAAAGATGGCTCCATTATCGACCAATTTGAAGTGTAAGTCTTGTTCTGGTTTTCTTTTTTTTTGTTCTAATTGTTTTTAACTAAATGCAGTGTTAATGGCCTTCTTTTGTTCAGTTGTGAGAAAGGGGCTTACATGTTTGGCCGCGTGGAGCTCTGCGATTTCATTCTCGAGCACCCTACCATCTCTCGCTTCCATGCCGGTACTTGCTGTGCTATCTCTCTCTAATTCTGGATGTTGAGAATTGTTTGATGAAATTTAGTTAGTTAACGAAGTAAATGATTCAGATCAATTTTGTAATCAGTTTCGATCCAGGCATTAATTGAAATCGTGCTAAAAATTGTGATTATGTGTATTGAAGCATGTGCTATTTTTTCGGGGTTAGTACTTTTGAAACATCTGACTGTTCCACAAATGTCAAGATCAGACAGAAAAAAGTCGTGAACTTGGTTGCTAACAGGAACTTTTCTGTTTCTGTTGGTATTTAGCTAACCTCCTCCACTTTTCTAGCATGTAGACTCGTGTTTCACCCTAGCTGAATGCAGTAGTAACTTGCTGTTTTTTTAACAACCTGCTGCTAATTTCCCATTCCCATAGCAGCAAGCTGCTTGGTGATTGTAGTCGTTATGCTTTTTCTTGGGAGATTGCTATCGTAAAAGTATGATAAATATCTTCCTAGTAGTAGTTTTTTTTCCTTCCAGCCAAGTGCATTGTTGTTTGACATAAGATTACATATGCGGATTATTTTGCATCCAAAACATGCACAACATTTGTGAAGCTTATTTTCTCGCTGAATTATATTAATTTTCTTTTTGTTTGTAGTGGTGTAATGTCAGTTATTATCTCCAGCTTTCCATATCATAGAACTTGTTCATCGATGGATGGGTAGAAACTCTCATTCATTGGGACTTCAAACATAGAGTTGTCGAAAGTTTCCTTCATTGTAGATGTCAGGGTCATTATATAACAAGTTGCTTCTCTTTGCTAGTTCTCCAGTTCAAAAGAAATGGAGATGCATATCTTTATGATCTTGGCAGCACTCATGGCACCTTTGTTAACAAGAGTCAGGTAAGCATTATTTATGTTATGCTTCCTATATTTAAAATATATGCATTACTTGAAGGTCTGGTGTAAGTGATACATTGATATTGTCAATGGAATTTGCAGTGTGTGGTTCGTTACACATTATCTAATATATACCCGGCTTTATAAGTCATTTTTTTACACTGATGCCTTCAATTTATGGTTTGTTTGAATGATATTTCTGAACTAAAGGAGTATCTGATTGGGTATGTGGGACGTGTTCTATTCCATGTAAACTTATTGATGCCAAGGAAATCATCAAAGACTAAAATATAAGCACAAAGCAAAAGGACAGGTAGATCCAAGTTAAGCAACTTGGTGGAAATGTAATGCGCTTTAAATTGGACATGAGGTCTGGTTCATGTCAACAGAAAATGTCCTGGATCCTAAGTAAGAAATTAAAAGAAAAGCGAACTAAAATGATTGTTTAGAGAAACTTTCCAGGAATTAATTGATTTTATAGTTGCTAAAGGTTATATGGTACAAAATAAATGCTAGCCTCTCCAATTTGTACAATCACAATCTATTTTCAAGAGGCAGAAAATATATTGTAATTGGGAATCTGATTACATTAATTACTAAAACAAAAGAAATCCTAACAAATATGAAATACACTGCATTAATCAACTACATTGGATAACCTAAAAACTAGTGCCTTATTGGAGACAGATCCTGACACTAAGATGTTGTTCAGTATTGTGGCTACGGGGGAGGCTCCCCCGCAGCCACAAATATTATTGTTTGGTAATACTCCAGAAGTAATTTATGTATTGGTAGGGCCCACAGCAACTGTGGCTGTGCCACAGGTTTACAAGAAGCAGCACTTTGCTGCTTCTTGTGCTGTGAAAACCCGTGAACAGTGGAGCCATGCTGCACTGTTCATGGGTTTTCTTCATTGAACACTGGAGCATGCTCCACTGTTCATGGAGCCGGACCAGTCCGGTTCAAAGCTAAAAATGCATTGAACCGGGTCTAACCCAACAAAATAAAAAAAAATATTTTTTTATTTTTAATTGTGTTTTATTCGAAAAACTAGTGTTAAACATTATTCAATGACACTACATAAATAAGACGGAGATCGCTTGATGACGTAGCATTTGTAGAATTTGATTGCAATCGCAATGTTGTTCCTAATTATATTTTACTTGATATTATTTCACTCTTAAGAAATTTATGAAAACTGTAGTTCTTATCGGATGGATTTCATATATGATGGAATTGTAAATAGTTGAATAGAACAATTAAAAATATTTTATATAAAGTATTATTTATTTGATGATGTAATAGCAACAGTTAAATCTACAATATTTAAATTAAAAACCATAAATATTAATATATATATTTTTTAAATTATTTTATAATCTCAATTTCAAAAGCATTTTTAATCAAACATATTAAACTACTTTTTGTTCAACCTCAATTTCAACTATAGTTTTAACCAAACATATATTTTTTTAAACCACAACCACAACAACTACTGCAATACCAAACACTCTCAAGCAAACATTAATAGCAGCCAACCAACATTTTTTCCATGTTAACACTGTCTTGCAGTCAGAAGAATTTTTTCTTGTCATGTCTGATCAGATCTAGAATCTTCCAGAGGAAAAAATCCTTCCTTGATAGGAAAATCTGAGTCTAATTGGACTCACCATCATCCATCTAATCGACCATGTCATCAAATATCTATGTGCAATTAATTCCAAGCCAGCATTGAGTCTATTCATGCTGTTGACACAAATGAAAGAAGTAGCTCTGGTTTATCATCAGCCAAACTAGCAAAATTTATGGTTTTCAACTTTCCTCAATTTAGCATTTTGTTAAATGAATTTAATCTCATATTATAACATAGGGAAGATTTTCTGTAGTTTTGATTTTATCTGAAGCTTTACTGTGGAACCGGGGGGCGGGGGGCGGTAACATGAATATTTATTAGCTGATTATCTGGTAGAAGAAAGCCTTGCTCTCAGGTGGTAAAGGGGTGAGACAGTGTTATGGTGGCTTCTTTGTTTGAAATTTGCCACTGAAAAAGTTTCTGTACACTAGGTTTGTTTTTTAATGATGTGCTACTGGTTTGTCTTTTTTGTCAGTGTTTTTTCCTCTTTTTCTCAAGTGGTTTTTCCCTTACAGTTTCTGTAGAGTAGGTTTGTATTTAATGATGTGCTACTGGTTTGTCTTTTTCGTCAGTGTTTTTTCCTCTTTTTCTTAATTGTTTTTTCCCTTACAATGGGAGATGGTTTTTTGTTGCATTCTTAACTGCTTTTCCCTTTCTGTTTATCAGGTGGAGAAGCGTGTTTATGTGGCCTTACATGTTGGTGATGTTATTCGATTTGGACAGTGAGTAACTTTCATACTTGATTCCTTGACTTGTCCCATTCTTCCGTATCTTTCATGCCTATAGCATTAGTTTAGTTCAACACTCTTTTTTTATTGTTATCACCTGGCATCATTGCCTGCATAACTTAACATCACTGTAACTTGTGATGTTAAGCCACAATAGATAATGCATAAGGGGCCATTGGCCAAAGACTGTAACTTGGATTCATGGTCAAAGCCTTTAACAAGCTTTGTTTCACATATTCCTTGTCCTATACATACTGAGATTGTTTTGATCTGTCTTGCTTTTGGTCTTATATTATGAGAGTGTTATGTTTAGAAAGGCATGAATTAGGGATGAATGTTGCTGTTTCTACATTATTGTCCTCGCATATTTCTGATTTTTACCTGTTCTTTCCTTGCACAGTTCATCCCGATTGTATATTTTTCAAGGACCACCTGACTTGATGCCACCAGTAAGATTGCTGTCGCTATATACACACACACACACATAATAAGTGCTTGATTAATGTCTGAGATTTTGTGTGCTTGGACATTACTTCTTGTTTGTTTCTTCTTTTCAAGGACCACCTAACACATTGCACGTATCACCTTATGTTAAAAATGTTCAATAAATTGTTCATGTGGTGTTGACTTGTATGCTGGTTCACCAGGTTTAAAAGAATAAACAATGCTAAGACTTTTTAGTTTGTAAGATTAAATGAATATAATTTTATGTCACAGGTATACCTCTGTTGTCGATGTAGTTCTATATATCTCTAGCATAGATTTGTTAGTAGCCTGTTCAGCCAGTTATGTTATCTTGCTTAAACAGCAGGGATGCATCAATTGTTTTAATGTATCACGTGTTGTAGGAAGCTGACAGGAAAATTCTTAGAAATGCTAAGATCCGTCAAGAGATGCAAGATCAGGAAGCCTCACTTGAACGAGCAAGGTTGGAAGCTTCTCTTGCTGATGGTATCTCATGGGGTATGGGAGAAGATGCTATTCAAGAAGTTGAGGTTAGTGTCACTCAATATTTTTTCTGGATGTAATCTTGCGAGAATTGTTGTTGTGGACTTTTTACAACTTTTCTGCTGCCAACACTTTTCCATAAGCTGCTTTGCAAAAAATATAGTAATATGAGATTATGTTTGTGTGCCCTTTTATGTGAGGAGGATTGCTTAAACTATTATTTGTTCAATATGAAGTATGTGCGCTGGACAACAGTAGTGTTTGTTTATAGCTGTGTACACTGTCATTCTTACCTCCTTGTTTCATGCTTATACAGAATTCATGCATTTTTAGTAATCCAAAAAAGAAAAAGGTTAATTCATTATGAACTTGTTTCTGTCTCAACTAGGAACTTGAAGACTAACATATGTACTTCTGTCAAATTTACCTTCCTTTACCAATTTTTTTTCCATAAATCCTAAATTACTCTTTTGCTCTATAGTTGAAAGCTGACGATCATCTTCTCTGTTTGTCTTATTGGATATCTAGGATGATTGTGATGAAGTAACATGGCAAACCTACAAAGGACAGCTTACAGAGAAGCAAGAGAAAACCCGTGATAAAGTGATAAAACGAACAGAAAAGGTAAGTGGTTTTCATTTTGCACTCCGAGATCCTCATTCTAGATATTTAACGTCTGATATAATGATGATTTGCATACCTTGAACATGAGACTAATCTGTATCCACCATTTTTTAAATCTCCTTAAGATTTATTTCCAGCTTCTTTTAAAATGTTCATCTTGTTACCTTGAGACCACTTGAAGTACTATTTTTAAGATGACCCCTTTCCTTTTTGTTTCTTTTAGTTGACCTGCCTTTCAATTTTTGTGGTATTAGAAGTGCTAAATCTAAATGGTTTATATGCTATATTGGTGCATGCTATATTGATTGAAGTGAAAACTTCATTTTTGTATGTTAACTGTTTTTGTTGCATTTTCTTACATTCTTTTGAATATGTAGAAGCTCTGCCTCTCCCCCATTCCTCATGTTAATTTTAGTGCTCATTTTGCTTATTCAACTGAATTCTGGCTGTAGATTGCTCATATGAAGAAGGAAATAGATGCCATTCGTGCTAAAGACATTGCACAAGGTGGATTAACACAAGGTCAGCAAACTCAGATTGCACGCAATGAACAAAGAATGACACAGGTAAAAAATCTATGCAGATAAATGTAAGCTGGTCTTTTCTCCCTACATGTTGTGTGATTACACTTTCTTATGATAGAAAGCAAAATCTCTTCTGAATTTCTCCCCACCTTTACATTATATTCTCTCATATCTTGTGTCAGATAATGGAAGAACTGGAAAACTTGGAAGAGACTCTTAATGAAAGTATCCGGGAAAGTATTGGGGCACGTTCTGGAAGGATATCTCGTGGTAAAGGAAAAGGAACAGCAGAAGATGATCAGGATTTTTCAAGGTACATTATCTTGCAGAATTCTCTCCAAACCAAAAACTTGGAACTTTCATCAAATAAGAAAATAAAAATGGCATACTATGATTTATTTACACTACTGAGTTACTGTTTGTGAGCTATTCTCATGGCCTGATATTTTATAGACTAGAGTAATGATTTTGCATGATTGGTCATCCAGTCATCTTTTTTTTTTTTCTTTTTTTTTTTCCTGTAGAAACCATGATCATGCAAATTGTATAACTAATGCTTATTACTTCATTTAGTGATGATGATGAATTCTATGACCGTACAAAGAAAACATCAGTGCAAAAAGCTGGTGAAAATCTATCGGTTGAAACTGCTGATACCCTTCTTGACAAGAGAGATGCTATAATGAAACAAATGGAAGACAAAAAAGAAGTGCTTTTGATCGAGAAGAATAAAATGGCATCAGAAACTGTAGTTGAGAATGGAGCTGGAGATGCACTTGATACCTATATGTCAGGGTTATCGTCTCAGCTAGGTAGTGTGATATAAATTACTTATATTTATGCCATATTATATGCTTGAGAAACATTTTTTCCTCTATATAGTTTTGTTTCCCTTGCCTGTCAGTGCTACTGCTGTGTCCCATGTTGTGTGCGTGTGATTGGCAATTGCTTGACAAACATTCCATCATTGCTGCATTAGTTGCTTATTTCTTAATTTTCTTGCCAGTTCTGGATAAAACCATGCAACTCGAAAAGGAACTATCCTCTCTACAATCTGAACTAGACAGGACCATGTTCCTATTAAAGATTGCTGACCCATCAGGAGATGCTGCTCGGAAAAGGGATTCAAAAGTGCAGGTTATGAAACCTGACAAAGCAGAGGTGCCTGTTTCTGCCACCAAAAGCCAACCACCCACAGAACCACAGAAAAGTAGTGCATTGGGAAAACCGACCAATGTCTCCATTCAGAAACAGAAAGCTGAAGATGCTGTGGTTGCTGAAATGGTATCGACTGATGCAGCAGAAACTGACAAAAATGTCATTGATGCACCTGATGGTAAGCCTACTGTTTATACTGTTGTAAAACCCCAATGGCTAGGTGCCATAGACAAAAGGAAAATGAAGGAGACCCAACAAGAAGAGGTGCTGGTCATGGATGAGTCTGATCAGTTTGTGGATTATAAAGATAGACAGAAAATCTTGAGTAATGTTGATGGTGCAGAGGTTAACGTGGATTCAGAGATTGAAAGTGCTGCTCCTGGTCTGATAATAAGGAAACGGAAGGGAGTTGAGGGACCTGGAGCTAATGATAATGAAGCTCCTGAACAGTTGACATCATCATCTGCGGGAGAAGAGTTCTTGGCAGAAGATGCTGTTGCACTGTTATTGAAACATAAAAGAGGATACCATGCAGAAGATGAAGAAGGAAATCATCAAAGCCAAGAGATATCAGGCACAAATCAACGTGGCAAGGAAAAGAAAAGGCAGAAAAGAGTGCTGGGCCCAGAGAAACCCTCATTTCTCAATAGCAACCCAGATTATGAAACCTGGGTGCCACCTGAAGGTAAAAGCTCTCTGAAAACCTTGAATTTGGTTGTAAAACCGGTGCCTTGATTCACATTTAACATGCATTGAAAGTTCGGTATTCTCCTCGTCTTATAACTTCTATACCTCATGCAGGCCAATCAGGTGATGGACGAACCTCTCTAAATGATCGTTATGGATACTGAACTGATATTCTAGTAGTTTACTCTGTTTGAGCTCACCACCTTCTCAGAGAAATGGTTCATAGGAAAGCTACCAGAGTCATAAATGTACTGAGAGACTGACGCAGACTTAGCCCCTTGGTCTTTCGTGATGTACGAATCCGTCCTCTCATAGTTTATGGCGTGCCTCAAAATTTATGCTTGAACTTGAAGGCCATTTTTAAAACACACGGACACTGGTGGCTGAAGGCCATTCATTGTGATTTGGTGCTTCAAGTTTTCAAGGCATCCAAGGACGGAGATGACCTTTGGATTCCATTTCTAAATGGAGATATGAAATGTTGTGATTGGTCAAATTTTTGGCTGATACAGGCACTTTAGCACAATCATGTATAGCAGTTAAAGGACAACAGTTTGTATTACTGGCTGCAAAACTTTGTAACGAGTTCTCAGAAGAAAAAAATCAACTAGTCTCCTGGTGTTACAGAGCATTGATCAAATAGAAATTAAAAGCAGTTTATCAATTTAAATAATTGAATACTTATAATTAAAGGCAGTGTTTTTTTATTGGTTCCACTCTTGACATGTAAAGATATCAAGGGGAACATGTTAGGTTTTTTTATTGGTTCCAATTAAAAAAAATGGATTAAAATTAAAATAAAGACAAATTATAAACGAACTACATTATTTATTTATTTATTATTATTAAATATACTTAAAAAGCTAAGGTTGGTTTGATCGATCATTATCCTTTTTTTATCATGCCTTTTTTTTAATTGAATTCTTGTGATCTAATTCCATCAAATAAAGTTTTAAATTATAATAGAAAGAAAATAAAAGAGAGGGATCACAAGAAAACATGTTGCAATCTAAGTTTATAAAATTTTAATTTTTATTTAAAAGTTATTTTGTTCATCCCAAAAAATAAACATTTTTATTAAGAACTTTTTTTTCAAAATAAATCATATTAATATGATAAAGAGGTTTTAATTAAATAAAGACCGGTTTTATTTTTATTTTGGATGGATAAGAGTATTTTGGATTTTATTCTAATTGCCTTTTATTTTTTTTAAATGAAGTACATTAAGAAAAAAAAAACTATTTTTTTAGTTGATAAAAATAGATTAATAAAAACAAGGGTTATGCTAATTTAAATTATTATGCTTTTTATAAAATAATTATTGATACATAATCACACCACAAAGTTTGAATAGCTCCCTCAAGATCAAATATTTTTTAATTCAACCTTCGACGAGGTCAATTATCTAGCATGTAAATACAAAAATTAAAACTACAACCATGCCTTCATCAGAAGGGTTTCTAGTGCCAAGAAACCAGTTAAAAACGAATTAAAAAAAAAAAGAAAAAAGGAAAGGAAATATTGAAAACTGCCCCACCATGGAATTACCTTCACAACAAAAACTAAAAGATGATGCTAGTGGAGAGTTAGATTTCATTTGAATCATAAATTGACTAACTTTCACCAAATGAACTTTAGGGGTAGTTTAGCATCAAATGGTAGTTCACAAAACCACCCTGGTTTTTTTGTTGAAATATTTCTTGTGCCTCCGCTTCATTTCTGTACACCCGAAGGCCTGTTTTTCGCTGGTCAAAAAAACCTTTCATCCCAAGTTGCCAACCATTACATAGAAACTACAATAATATGATTATTCACATTACATTTTCAGTGTGGGCGACAAGGATCAATGGCGGTATAATAACATGCCAATCCGTCAAGGCAGAAACATATGCATCCAGCATTTCGTAGCACATAACCATGGGCCCTCATACTCTCTCTCCATTCCTGGAGTCGAAGGACGTTTCAAAATCACGAAGCTCTGCATCATTCTCAAAAATCAATGAAGCCACCTTGTCCTGAGCCCCTATAATCTTGCTATCTCTTCATTCACCCTTTGTTCAATGCAAGAACCCCAGAGAAGCCTATACCCACCACAAAATATCTGTGCTTGCTATACAACAGCATTCAGAGCTGAGTCAATGGAAAAGAGACTGATCGAAGATCTCCAATGCTTGATGATCTCTTTCAAGATATTATATACAAAAGTGAGGCTAGTCTCTTGCAGGAAGTTTTCATTAGATCACGCCTTTCCATAATCATGCTTGACAAGAAACAAAGAGTGAGTGACACCCATTAAAGATTGGTGTCATGTTAGTGTAGCAAAGAGAGGACCCGTTCCACTGAATCAGTTGAAGAAATAAGGTGATTCCAACACTTGCCTCAACTCAAAGTCTCCCCATTCAGGCAAAGGCGGAAAAGACAGTGTAGGAAAGGACTTTTCAAAGCTCTCCAACAACTGCATACAAAACAGAAGGTATAAATGATGGATTTGACACAACACAGTTATTTGAAGTGCGCGTCCAAGTAGAAATTATAGGCATCTTTTTATCCCAAAACACAGTCAAAACTGCGGTTGAGAGCAAATTATAAAGGATGCTTTAATTAACGGCAGCAAGTGTTGTTTATTTAAACATGATGCCATATATCTCTTCATCCTTTTCTTCACACCAAGACAATCACAATCGATTAAAGTGTAAGAAAATTAACTTGCCTCTTGTCAGCTCTACCAAAAAAACTTCAAAAATATTGTATTGGGGGGCTTTTCCCTTGTACAAATACATAATGATGCTAGGCAATGGATGGGCCATTTATCTTTCCAGTTTGTAGAGCAATATTGCAGTGCTAATACTTACATTTTTTAATATAGGTGTTTCATAGAGTTCAACAAACTTTTCCCTCAATATCCTGTTCATTTCATCCACATCACATGCATGTGTCCAATATGAATCGTGAACTCCTGTAATGGAATGCCATATACAGTAATAAGAAATCAAAACTAGGAATAGGACAACATTTAAGACAAAATCCAGTTACAAGTGAAAAAAAACCTGCAAATTTTAAGCCTGCCCTTTTGCAGGCAACTGCAGTCATCATCATATGAGAACCATCAAGGGAATGAACAAAATTTGGTGGGAAAGCTGTTCTCTGTCGTTTGACCATAACCTGTAACAGTAAAAGAACCACCAAATTTTAGATCCAAGACCCGGAAGGTTCAACATTTTTTCCTTTTCTTTTAGTATTTTGATTAGTCCAGACCAAACTAAAAAAACAAAAGCAGGAAAATTTAGCGGGACAAAAAACTTAGGCACCTGCTAAAGTCTACCAGAAATTCAGAATATTAGGAAACAGTTTACAGAATGTACCAATGTAAGATAACTATGATCCTTGAACAATATTTTCAGCCATAAAAACAGGTTATTTCAGATCTTTCACAATTAGATGCGCTATCAACATCCTAGCAGAGACTCACAAGCCACAATAAATAATATGGAATCTCTATTAACTACAGCAGAAAAAAGAAACATTACCGTGTCAGTTTCCTTTTGTAGTGTTAAAAACTGTAGGGAGGTTTTGATCTGCAACAATTGTATGAAAGGAAGATAAGAGAATTCAAAATGCCATTTCTATCAACATGAACGTAACAAAATGCCAATCAATTTCTTTTCTTTACTTTTTGTTTTGTCCAGTAAGTACAATTAATGATCTACTATGCTTCTGCAAATGTTATAGAACTCACAACATGCTTCCCTAATTTACGGTAAGGTTGTACAACAGGAAGTCCTAGTGGAGTTGTCCATCGCACTGGCTCATTTTCAGATGCAATAATCTGGTCATGTTAAACAGTCAACAGTCATGGACAACAAAAAGAAAAAAGGTAAACAGAATGTCAGTTGATAGTATAGAAACAACAACAAAAAAAATCAATACAAAGGAAAAAACAAATAAATAGATGAGACAGAATCACCTTTGCACATTCCCCAAGCCAGTTCATGATACTTCGTGCAGCTTCAAACATCTCTCCTAAGGCAGTTAAGGTCACCTGATAAAGCAATAAAATAAAATATTGTCAGTGACCTGTTTTATGAAAGAGTGAGTCTAAGGAATTATCAATCCTCCTTGTCAGGATGCTCATTTCACACCTTTGCAGCATAGCAAGAACAACCAAAGATCTCTGAATTGTCTGTGAGACCACGTTCCTTTAACCTCCTTTCGATTTGGTCTCTAGCACCAATGTAAGTCACACCATACACAGATGTCATCACTGTCTGCTTCACCAATTTCCTATCCACCTAGATTATGTCAAATTACTATTAGTTCGAAAGCATAAGAACTACCCTCTATGAAAAGCTCACCCTATTCTTTGAATGAGATGGAGGGGAAAAAAAAAAGGAAAGCATGGTACAGTTTTGACATGGTACAGTTTTGACCCAGTTGTAACCAAGCCATCCCTTGGTGACAGGACCACTATAATCGAGAATGAAAGCTTGGAGAAAACCTGATTGATTAATATTCTTGCACGCAAAGCGTCAGGAAAAACTTGTGGATCTTCCTGTGCATCCCTCCGCATGATGTCAAGTACTCTGCATTACAAAAGTTCACATTCATCACGTTCTTTTTTGCAGATATCTGCTTGCTTCACAACCAGCAATTCGTGATCACAAAGAGAGGATGTAAAAAGAAAGATTCTTGTAAAGGCTATACAAATTTGGCTCCAGCCAAACACATCCAATGGATACCACAGAAATTTCACTTCGATCTGGTCATAGGCCATAAAATAAGCACTTAGCTGATTGAAGTTTTTCTTTGATTGAATTGAAACAAATTAGGAGTTCCTTATTTGAACAGAAATATTGATCTTTGATTGGATGTTACTTCTTAATTACATATACCTACATTTCCAAGAAAGCCAGAAAACTCAGCTAGTGAAATACATTCTTCTTTGGCTTTGAGATTGTAATGCTTCCATACTCTTAGGCTTTTAGACAATAATGCTTATTGCAGAATTTAATCGAATCAATACATGCTGGTGTGTTGCAAAAAAAGCTCCTAATTAGGAGGCATTTTGGCTTATATTCCAAAGATCAGATTCGTGGCTGTCCTCTCAAGAGTTGGTCAGAAGTCTAAAATTCAGATTATGTCTTCTTGTGATTTGGAACTTCAGAATTAAAAAGGGAATTGATTAGTACTTAAAAGTGCATTTTTATCATGGTTTTATATCATCATTTTGCACGTGAAGTATCAATAACTCCTTAACCAAAGCATGTTTTATAATAATATATTTAATAATATAAGATACCTTTAATTTATGGTAAATGTCTATTTTTAATGCAGGCCTATCACATAAATGAAAGGATTGATTGATGACTTGAAGAACTTAAATTGCAAGGATAAAGAGATGGCCAAACTTAGAAAAGAGATGTCGGTGCAATCCAAACCGGAACACTGTTCGGTAAATGGGTCATATCTGGAGCTATATATCTCAGATTTAGGTCCAATTTATATGGATGGAAAGGTAAGACATAGGCCTACAACTTTCATATGGAGCCCAAGATCTAAAAAGGCCATTATCAAGTCCAAATTATAGCAACAACAAAGAAGCCCGAATCTGTCTTCCAGCCCGAGCACTGTTCGGTATTTTGG